GGAGAAGTGGAGGTCGGTAATGTAAGCTCTATGGTAAAAATACAAACACCAACACAACACCCTATTACCGCCTGGCATGTTTTGTAGATCACTATGGGTGCTACAAGGTTAAAAAGATGCTACAACTTGAGTAGTAGCAGTGTGTATATTGGTGTATAGACTTGCAAAAGAAACTCAGTATATTTAAGAATATTGATTTTGTGATATTTGAAAACAAACGGTATGGTATTTACAGCTTAGGACAGTATGTAGAACTGGTACATATATTAAATAGCTGGAGGGTCATTGGAGATTGTGTTATACATAGTAACAAAAGTATTGTGTATGAGCTTTTTGTTTAGTGGTGACTGTGAGCGAGTCTATGTTTTAAACTTGTGAGTGGGAGAAAGGCCTTCATTGAAGCAGCAGCAGCCGCAGCCATGTCCCGATGTGTGTAAAGGGAGTACTCTCTCCAGTTCACAATGAAGGTACACTTAGATGTAACTGGGATAGGACACCCACTGATGGATGCTCCTGACGTCTATGGTGTTGCCTTGGCTTGTCAGAGCTGTTTTGGACCTGTGAAGATCCGGGGTAGAATAGGTCTTCAGCAACCCATGCTTGCCGTAAAAGGCGACTATGCTTGTTGTAAAAGGTGACTAACCATTGGATTGTCTGGTCCAGACACGATTATTTACAGACCGCCGTCATATAGCTGGGATATTGCTGAGTGTGAAACAACAGACAAACAGCGCTGTTTTGATACCAGTTTTAAGTTTAGTGATTTTATTTCAACAGGATTGTTCTTCGTCAGAATGAATCCTTAATGAAACAGTTTTGATCTTATTTGTGATGAGATTTTAGACCTGTGGTAGTTTGAATCTGATGATGAATTCTACACCTGAAGCTGCTAATAGAATAGAAACATTCTGATATTCTCTGTTTACAACTATCTACAAGCACATATGGTATGTATTGGCAAAAATGATCTGTTAATATTTTTTGGCATGAATTTGCTGATTTCATGGTTTGATTGTGTGAAACGTTTATTATTTGCATGTTTAGAAATCTATTAGGGTAAGTTTGATATGAAGTGGTAATATTGCAGTTGATGAATCAGTAATAGTTCCAGCTGTTGTGGCACGGCCATTACCTTCATCACAGTCACATGTCCAGCTGGCTACAGGCATATATTGTAATGAATGCACTGTGTTGTTGATGGGGATATGTGTAGCAGGATGTATGCAGCTCAAAGAAGTTAAAGAACATGGTGTGCCATACGATTAACTACAGTACTATGAAACAAGCGTGTGTTCTTTTACTTGTTTTGAGTGGTTTATATTTCAGTGTAGCATGATCATGCATTGAAAGAACAAGAAGGAACACAATCAACATATCAAGGAGTGCAAACTTCCTGAAGATCAGCAGGATGCAGGATAATCATCTCTGTACTAAAAACGACACAACATCTTGAGAACATGATCAACTTGTAGTCTGACTGGCAGTCTGTTTCATGTTTTCTACTCTTGATTCATGAACCCAGAGGCACTTGAATGAACCTTTGACAAAGCAAGACCAGTGATAACATGGTCAATATTGTCGCTTCAGTCTTTCAGTTCTAATATTTTAAATTCAAATATAAAGATATGTGAAACACATATTTGTCGTGTAATATACACAGATTACCAGCTGTAACTGAAGGGTTCCTGTATTCCTGAAACTTCAGCCAAGAGTGTTGGCGGTGTTGTGGTACCTTGTTTCTCTAATATGATGGGGTAGACTTGCACAAGTCTCTAAGGCAATAATTATTAGTTTAAATCATAATTTCTAGATTATATAAATAATAAGAACAAGTTGTCCCTATAAGAGACTTGCGTCCTTAGACTTGCCCTTATACTGTCCACTTATCTAGACTTGCCTATTATTACTATACACCAATGGACTCACCTTTCAGTAGAGCGTTGAAGCAAGGCTATGATGGGGTTTTGTCAGGACATGGAAACATTGAGGTGACGAACCTGTCTCCTGACTTCTGAAAGTTTAGTATTGAATGTTGCTTGTTTCTGAGACTATTCAAGATGGAGGTAGGCTAACGTAGTAGGATATGATATGAATGTAAAAAGTCTAGTATTGAATGTTGCTTGTTTCTGAGACTATTCAAGATGGAGGTAGGCTAACGCAGTAGGATATGATATGAATGTAAAAAGTCTAATATTGAATGTTGCTTGTTTCTGAGACTATTCAGGATGGAGGTAGGCTAACGTAGTAGGATATGATATGAATGTAAAAAGTCTAGTATTGAATGTTGCTTGTTTCTGAGACTATTCAAGATGGCGGTAGGCTAACGTAGTAGGATATGATATGAATGTAAAAAGTCTAGTATTGAATGTTGCTTGTTTCTGAGACTATTCAAGATGGAGGTAGGCTAACGCAGTAGGATATGATATGAATGTAAAAAGTCTAGTGTTGAATGTTGCTTGTTTCTGAGACATTTCAAGATGGAGGTAGGTTAACGTAGTAGGATATTATAATATGAATGTAGAAAGTCTGATGTTCTCAATGTTCAGTGGTTAGGTCTCCCCCAGTGCTTCTCTGAGAAACGTATCATGAATGTTGAAAGAGATAGGGGTTTAAGGTTAGTACATATTGTAACTTTGAAATATTAAATCTTTCACAGTAAATCCAGGTTCTACGTGCCACTCAAAGATCATATTTTGCATATTTGATCAGTTTGTGTTGGATTGATTAATGTAAAGTTAACATCATGGCTACTGAGTGGTGAAAAAGGGCTGTAGTGGTGTAAGAGTTACTTCCCTTGTATGTTGTGAGTGTGGTTTGTTTTTTTCAAGAGAAAGTAGGTGAGAGAATAATTTGTATTTGATCACATGGCATTACGTTAGCAATAGGTTATAGGTAAGCAAAATCCACATTTTATTTCCATTTCATTAGAAAATGATTTGTTAGGCAATAGTGAGGAATAAGGAAGAGAATTTAAGTATGGCAACTTCTTAATTATGAGGAATACAACATTTCGGAGTAGGTACTCTTTCATCAATAGTAAAGAGTGATGTAAAAATTATTAAATTATTAAATGAAAATGATGACAATTAATTTTAAAATGGCCATAATTTGTTGTCCAAGTTGGCAGGATCAGTCAAATACAGCAAATGGGGGGGGGGGGGGGGGGGGGGGTGTAGGGGTGGAGTAGGCAGCACCTCAGACAATCTCCTCCATGGAAGCTGTTTCGCTTCTTGTACAAAAAGTGTTACACTCCCTATGCTGATGGCTGGCCATTACACAGTTGTCATGGGCAACAAAGGACAGTTCTTTGATTAGAAGTAAAGAATAACACAGAAAATTATTACACATGAGTAATAAACATTCACTGAAGATTTGCGGCACTGTCTGGATGGAGATCAACAACTCACAATAGGATGGAGATTAGTCAGGTCGTGGTTCAAGGGGCATAGCCAGGGGCAGTCAGCACACACAATACAGTTTTGTTTGCAACACAGACAATACTGCAGGGTCTTAGCTTATTTTGAAGAGTTGTATGAAAGTCTGATAAAACTTACATTATATCAATAATATCACATTGAATTTGATTAAGTAAATAGGCTTTACTGACCACAATGATGGGAGCCATGATGTCTGACGTGGACAATTAGTGCAAGGGCCGCCAGTGTTACTTCATGTCTTCTCCCATCAGATCACATCCCCAGGAGCTATACAATGCCCTGGATCAAGTGTGACCTGTAACGGAGGTGTTCCTATCAGCGAGGCTGACATATCAGCTGTTGATCACCGGTCTGATTAAGGGCTCCTGTCACAGGTAATGCAACCAGCATGTCAGACATCCACCCACCCACACATTAATCAAGGTGTAATCAGTGACCGCTGCCCCAACTGACAGGTACACACACAGGGAGCCGACTCACATGGTAAGATGGGTGGAGATCAGTTGAGGGAGTGTGTACCTGAAGCTGCATCGCCTGCAGGTCTGGTCAGTGTGGAGGTGTACTGTGTTGATAAACATGCTCTCCATTCAGGGGTTGTCGAGATGGGTCAGTTATATAAGGGAATGTGATTGTTTCTGTGGAGGTGTTTGTCACTCCTGGACAGAATGTCCTCTGTGTCTGTTGTGAGGAGGAGGATCTGTGAGAAATGGATGTGATGACCGCAAGTATTTGTATTAAACAGTGTTGGATTTCTTGTGTATTGAGGTCTTGTTGGCTGAGTTGGCTGGGCAGTATTTGGTATGGATCTGTAGTTGGCCTAGACCATTTATTTAGCATTAATCGTTACTGGAAATCTCAATGCAACAAAAACATTACTGGGTGTTTTCGCAAGTTCCATGCTCCTGCTCCAGTGCTTCTATCAACTCTGGGTTTTGTTGCTTGTCACTAACTGCCTTGACATCACATGATGTTAAACTTGTGTTATTGAATGATGGAAAGTTTTTATTTTGTTCTTCTTCTACCTGTCATGTGTCCACTACTACCTTGTTCCTGGAGAATCACCTGGAGAACAGTACATGAACTTTGAATCCTGACATTCATCTCAGCTGGGTCCTTGTTGAGAATGTCATCAGTCTCAGAAGATCGAGACTGATGCTGGCACATTGGGTTGTTGCATGAGACCTTGTGTCCATCTTGCTGAATGTTTGGATATGTAATGAATACAGTCACTCGGTTATGTGCATTTGAGGAGTTGGGCCAGTGGTCTACACGCCTGTATCTTGCTGTGCAGAGTTTTCTTTCCTTCCTGCCAGGATCTGATGGTTCTTGGTTTGAATCCCAGATTTGCCCCAACTGTTACCCTTGGTTTCTTTAGTGTTTGAAGCCCATCTCTATAGTGCAGCATTATTGATTAAAGCGTTGCAAATCAATAATCACTCACTCACTCACTCTTTAGTTATTAACTGTACCCTTCCTTGTTTGCGGGTATCGGTTTAACTCCAACATTTTGAATATATATGTCTGTTCTAAACATATGTCTAAATGGTGCCTCTCGTGTTTCAGGAACAGGTGAAAGAGAAGCAGAAGTCGGCCACGCCCCCTAGTGATGAGAAGGAAGATGACATGTCTAGCACACCCCCACATCCCGCCATGACGAAGCGGGCGAGACGTGGCGCCGTCAGTGCCGAGGTCTACAAAGAAGAAGATGCTGCTCAGTATGTCAAAAAGGTGGGACTTCGATCGTTGAACTTCCAGGGATGCATCTAAAACGTTTATTGGCAGGACTGGTGATAACATACGTGGACACTCCCTAACAGGCCTAAAGTTCTACAGACCCTTGTGATGCCCAGTGATCACAATTAAGCATGGTGTGTCCTTGTCATAACCCTTATGTTAAGCATGAAAGATTCGGGGTTCCGTAGATTCAAAATTAAAGGGCTTAATACGACTTCATCTTAACTTCTCCACAACTGATTGATGAATTGAGCTGATTCCTTGTGGATGTTGTTTCAGGGACTCAATGTTGTTTAAAGCATTAAAGTTTTGTCCCTGCAATAGGAGGAAACAGTTAAAACTAATATGATATAAAATTGACACAAGTAACAAATTTTGTGTAATTAGTCCTCTAGTCCTTGTAATAAAAACACATAGCAAAACCCTCAAAAGTGACAAATTTCTACTTGTCCTTATGATACCTTAACTATTGGGCACTTTGGCAAGAACTACCGGACTAGTGCCAATTTATATCGCTGTATTGCCTACATCTTTACCCTGTACATTCCCACCATCAACACTATCTGACAAGAGACATATAATGTACATATAAAAACACAATATATAATAAAATTCCCATAAGCTAAGAAGATAACATCCTGTCACATGACGTCTCGTGACAGGATACAACTGATCTATTTTCAACTTTAGTATGTGACTACAGTGACAGAGTGTTTTACATACAATCAACATGCACGCACATGAGTAACATATATTACTCAAAAGATGTTAAGGACCACCCAATTGTTTCATAATACCATAGTTAATTTGTCATGCCCTGGCAATCAGCATTAAGGGGATGGAACAAGGACTGGACTGGTCGGGTCACAGTCAGTGTACTGTGTCTGAGGTACCCATGTTAAACTGCAGCATGGTGCCTCAGTGGGCTAACACAATAAAGCCGGCACTAGTCCGGACAAGACAAGCAAACACATGTGCACACACTCATGCACACATGTACACATGCATGTCACTCTATAAGTGCAGACCGCCTCCGTGGTCTAGTGGTAGAGCTTCCGCCCGGAGAGCGTAGGTCCGGGATTCGATCCCCGGCCACGTCATACCAAAAGACGTTAAAAGATGGTCCTTGTTGTTACCCTGTCTGGGGCTTGGCATTAAGGGGCTAAAACAAGGACTGGTCGGCTCAGAGTCAGTATACTGTGTCTGAGTGGGGTATTCATGTTAAACTGCGGCATGGTATCTCAGTGAGCTAGCACTATAAATCGGCATCAGTCCAGACTAGGACAAGCAGCCACACACACACATACACATGCATGCATGTCGCTATATAAGTGTAATAATCTTAAACCCCATTTCACCTCACCTCTATAAGTGCAATAATCTTGAACGTGACATTAAACCCCTTTTCACCTCACCTGCAGAAGTAAAATGTGATGTTGCTGAATACAATTAGACCCAGTTCGCTCCCCACAATACACATTTTTCTTACAGATTAGTGTACCTCACTCAGGCCTGATAAGCGGGGATCAATAATCACCCCAATCAGTACAGCATCAACATTGTAACTGCGGAATTCACATAAATCCTTTTTCATCCTAGCTTTACCAGTAATCAAGGCAGCATACCTGAGGTATGGCATCAGATTGTCACGTTACACTTACACTTGCTGTCACGGGATTGCGTGAGAAGATTACATGAGACGTTTCTCATTATACCAATGACAGTAGCCTGACAAAACAGCTAAGTGATGACAAAGTGTAATTTGTACCAGTGAAGAATCAAGTCTTTGTTTAGCTAGTCACAAGAACATTTTTTAGTTGTGTATTGTATTTTTTTGTGCCAAATTCAGAAAAAAAACCTTTTTTAATGTTTACAGCAACCACAAAACCAAAGTAACATTGTATTAAATTAAGTTTGATGGATTGTAAAATTAAAAACATTGATGTAAATACTCAATGAGCAAAGGTGGCTTGAAACATACCATGTTGTGGCCACTCAAAGACATTTTACTGGCGTTTCTTCGACTTACAGATAGAGAAAGAAATCCATAGCAAGGGAGATAATTCATGAAAGAAGACAAGTAACATGACTGTTACATTGGTAGAGTGCCCATACAATTAGTTACTGCCAATGTCATCAGATTTCATGCAGTAATAGTTTTTTGAAATAAAATGCTGTCTTTGTCTTTTAAATTGGAACTTATGTACAAGAATCCTTAATAGCTCTGTCAGTCTGTGCCAAAATGTGTGAGTGTACGAGCCCGATCAAGGCTCTGTACACCATTTTCAGTGCATTGATATTAACATACAGTACAGCACTATGTAGTGAACCTGCTTCAAACTGGGATTGAGGAGGATGGATTTTTGTACAAATTAACCTTTTAATGTTCAGGCCTCAAAGTTTAAATTTTTACCGAGTAGCCATATGGCTACAAGTATTTTTTTCCAGGTAGCCAGTGGTAAAATCAAGAAGTCAAGCCAATAGTGTAGGTGGCCAAAAGCATTTGAAATTATCTTTTATCAAATAACTATTACATGTACAAGTCATAGCACTAGTCTTGGAATTGTATATTAGTGGAAACAGTACTTGAGTTTCGTTATTTGTGACTCGAACAATGATGCAGTTTATGTTACTAGATTATATAGGTATATCCTTGCTTATCCAATAAACTATCAACTAAAATAAAATACTAATTGCATTAATATTTATGTATTTTGGTTCATTGTTGACTTTAGGATGAATTATTTGCGAGTACAGTTAGTAACATATGTGTAGCAATAGAAGTTAGTCTCCATAAGATATTTTTCAAGGTAGTCATTTGGCTACCTTTGAATTTAAGACAGTAGACAAATTGAAATTTAGGTCGCATTGGCGACCATTTTAGTCGTAACTTTGAGGCCAGATGTGTAATAAGAAAACCAGATTATTTATTATTAGCTGAGCTTACTTGATCTAACAATTTTACTTCAGACTAGTGGCTAAGGCTGCAGACTGTAAAGATGCTCAATCTGTTCTATTCAGTCCTAACTGGAGATCCCCTCAAGTGTAAAAATACTGGTATCTCTCTACTGTTTGCCAGGAACACAAGTAATCAGACTCAATACACACCTTGTGGGAATTCCAGAGATGAAAATGCCAGGGGAACCCCATGTTTGTCTTAAGCATTAACTGATGATTGGATGGTTGCAGTGTGGCTTCATATCCCAACAGTGTAGATCGTTACTCATGCTATCAAAAGGGGCGGTTGGGTAGCCTAGTGGTTAAAGCGTTCGCTCGTCATGCTGAAGACCTGGGTTCGTTTCTCGACATGGGTACAAAGTGTAAAGCCCATTTCTGGTGTCCCCTGCCGTGATATTGCTCGATTATTGCTAAAAGCGGCGTAAAACCATACCCACTCACTCACACTGATTTGCCTGGCTTAGATCACTCTCACTCACTCACTCACTCACTCACTCACTCACTCACCCCACTCACTCACTCACTCACTCACTCACCTAAACCCACCCATTTCTGGTGTCCCCCGCTGTGATATTGCTAGAATATTGCATAAAGCGGTGTATAAAACCATACTCACTCACTCATGCTATTAAACACTGGTTTGCGTGGCTTAGATCACTCACTCACTCACTCACTCACCACCTGCCCAAACCCACCCTCACTCACTCTCTCACCTTAACCTACCCTCACTCACTCACTTACCTGAAGACTCACTCACTCACTCACTCATCTGCCCAAACCCACCAACCCTAACTCACTCACTCACTCACTCACTCAAACACACCCATCCGTGTAAGTAACTCATGTAAGAAGACATATTGCAATAGCCAAGGCCTGATGATAAGATGTTGTAGCTGTAGTAGGTGAGGTTCTGATGATAGGCTATAATAGATGATTGATAGATTTCCCAATAATATGATTCATTGTAAGTGTCCATGATCAACCTCATGTATTTTTGAGAAAACTACAGCTTGATATCAAATTTGTTCAATGTTCAATCACTCCTTTGTAGACAACAGAAATCATTTAAGCACTTGTCCCATGTCCAGTTGCTTTAACCCGGACATTGGGTCATCTGTGTATGACTGATTGGTTGTAAAGAATATTGAACAAGTTGGATGTTATTTTTATATAGGTGTTGACAAGATGATCATAGGTAGTGCTTCATTACGAACCAAACCACCACCTCTCCCAGCTTACCAGTTCCAGTTTGTTCCTGTGTCCTTCCTTTCCGGTGTTCTCTGTCACCAGCCATTTCCTTACCACATTGATTTTTGTTAGTCCAATATCAACTGTCAACCATCATAGAGAAAATCTCTACCTCGCTTTCATTCTCTGCCCAACGACACTGCGTCTTGTCCAAGACGCTGCCTCTATATATTCATGAGATCTGGGGGTATATAAGGCATTTATACCCCACTTGGTCACTAACAAGCTGTAACTCTCTGATAGCGCCTACAGATCCTTTGGCATTTTCCCTTGTCACCAAGACATAATTTGTGCCAAGTTCCAATACTGCAATGGCGAGAGAGGTCTGTTGCTCTGATATTAACATTTATGTTTGTTAAAATTGGTGAAAAATATTTTCAAAGTTGTCTGAATTATTTTTATATGAAATGTTATTTGTGTACATTTGAATGTTTGACTATCGTTCCAGTTTCAAGTTGAACTGTTGTCAGTCTAAAGTTGTATCAGGCAATATTGAGGCTATATATAGTGGTGCCGGTAGAAGACAATACCTTTATTTCTGAAAGCTTTGTGTTAGTCTTTTCATTCAAGTGTTTATAATTATTCTGTTATTTTCAGGTTGTACCAAAAGACTACAAAACAATGGCGGCTCTGTCTAAAGCCATCTCAAAAAACGTCCTGTTCTGTCATCTGGATGATAATGAACGAAGGTAAGCCAATCTTTTTTTAAGTTGTAAACATTTAAGGAATTTAAGAGATTTAAGGGATGGTTATGATCCCTGTGCCTTGTACTGATCTTCCATTGCCTTGTAATACTTCAAGGCAATGAGTATATCGACTATGTGAATGAATTCTCATCAAGGGTCTTTCATTAAATGATGTTGTATTAATCAGTGATATTTTTTTTGGTGAATATCATCCACAAGGCAAAAAAAACTAGAGTATAAAATAGCAAACTTGATTTCATGTTTCATGGAAATTTCACAAATATTTGCATAGGAAATCTCCCCCGTGAATTTATGTGTTAGAATGGGTCTTCAGCAACTCATGTTTGTTGTTCATAGGAGGTGACTAGTGAGTGGGGCAGGTGGTCAGGCTCGCTGACTTGATTGATGCGTGTCATCAGATTGCTATTGTGTGGATCAATGTTCATGATATTATTCACTGGATTGTCTGGTCAGGATTCCATTATTTACACACAGCTGTTATATAGCTGGAATTTGAGTGCGGCAACAACAAACAAACAAACAAACAAACAAACATGAAGTCTATGCATTGTGTGATCAAACAATACTAGAAGAATAGCCTATTTAAATGTAAGTAAAAACAGTCAACTACTGTCGCTAGTGGCCCAAAGCACATGGTTATGATGAGTTATTCCAGTCCAGTAAGCATAGCTGATAATAGTTCATAATAAATATTTAGATAAGAATCTGCTGAAAATGGTAATGATTTATAGGACAGGTTTGGGGTAATAGACTGCAAAGCTTTTGGCACAGGTTTAAACAAGTATTTTAAGAATTTATGGAAATAAAATAGAACATTGTTATACCAAACATGCATATCACATACTAAAGATTATGGCCCTGACTCAGCAGCGTTACTATCATATCATTCATACAACTAACAGTTTCTGTACAACAAAGTAACTGCTACAGCCAGCTGAAAGAAAACAATAGGAGAACCAAATATCTTGTCAAGATCAATCAGTGACAGCTGTGAAACAGTCACTATCCTATTGTCACTATAGTAAACTTAGTGTATGACAAACATGTGCTCACCATTGAATTCACCGCTTGAATTCATGACCCATTAACTCTTTTAACACCAGTCAACCAAAAGCGTTTATTGCTGTGACACCGAGTTCCCAGAGACTCTTATGTGATAGATGAAGCCAACATTTATAAGAAAATATCTGCTTGTAAAACATCTTTGCTACTACATGTTATACACCATTTGAAAGGTCTAATCCTATTGTTTATAAATATGAAAGTTATGTTTATCACATCATTTAAGTAATGCATTTGCAACTTAATTAAGTTTGGTGTAAATAAAAACTGTAACCTAACATATTCATAATGTCCAGATTGAGGACCATGAAGCGAAAATTTGACGGTTTTTGGCAATTATAAGATTTCATTAAATCCACTTACTCATTTTCTTTTTTCTTTTCATTGTTTTCGTAATTGGAAATATATTTTAAAAAGAATTATAAATAGTATTTGTCATTGTCCATTTCCTGATAACAGCGGCTGTCCGCTCAGTAACATGAAGAAATTCTTCCGTTTTGCTTCGTGTGAATAACACGTTCGTCGAAGACTGCCATATGACACATCCCTAGAAAGCTTGTTTTTTTCATCTACATGGTCGTAACATCGCCTTGAGAGTCTTTTTGTAGCTGTAACATGCAATTTTATTGGTTTCTAATGGGGCTTTCTTGCCGAAATCTGCTACACGTTCGTGATTGGTCAAATTTGAGCACGTGACCTAAGGCAGCCAATCAAATGACAACTATGGTACCGACCTTGTGTATGATGAATTTCAGATTCTGACGAAAGATTTTTGTTAAATCGTGTTATTCTGAACATTTTAAGCAGGAAATCGCGATCTATATTAAAAATATGGAACATCGTGGATGTATTGTGCTAGGTAATGAGCTGTGACAAAGATTTTTCATGCATATATTTTGACATTAAACATTGTGTCCAAGCCGAGAAATCGAGGTGTTGAAAGCCGAGATGTCATTTGACTTACATTACACACGATCGCAGGAAAAGATGGAAATAATAACTTAGAAGAAAGTTTGACAACTTTTACATTTAATTTTGTTGATTTTATGTATTACTTTGTATAATATATTAAAGATTTTCTTGAAACGTCTATATTTTGATCTTTGACATGTTCAATGTGGACCCTTTGTCGAAGTGTGTGTCCGAGAATTTTATTTTCAATGACAGTGCGGGAAATAGTAAATAATATTTAAATCTATCGATACAAAATGATGAATTGAAATGGAATATGTATTTCAGACATTGTGAATTATGATAGATTAAATAAATGAATGATATGACAGGTAGGTTAATAAAATCATATTCTATTTTGACGTGACTATGGCTTAGCCGGTGTACCGGCCTAAGGTGTTGAAAGAGTTAATACCTTCTTTCTAGTGTTTGAAGAAGAGTTCACTGTTTCCATCAAAGGTCAATTTCGACCAATGAAATTTATGCCTGGTTTACATAAAGCTAATTCCAAGAAATCTATAATAGAAATGTATGTAAACCGTCTTTATTCGTGACTAGACTTTCAAAAAATGGTGTTTTGAACATTCTATTTTTATGTTGGTACCAAATATTGTCATTGTTGCAATTGTTTGTGTATGTAATAGATTATATCCATAGATTTGTCCTTGTTTCCTGTTGAAATTATTCGCTTCATTATGTTCGTTCTGTGTTTGTACTGAGTTAGCCCTGTTGCTTGTCTCCTTGTGGTGTCACGGCAGACTGGTTTTTCCAGTACTTATAGTGCTTGTACTTCGAGATGACACTGGGTATCTGGTGGCCACAATGGCTGCTGAATATAAATATCATTTGGTTTATGCCCTTCAGGGATGACCTGATGGATTGGTTATCATAGCAACCACAGCACTGTGCATTGTTGCTCACACTATCAACCATTGGTTTGCTTGGTCTCGTCACAGTTACAGGGCATTAAGTAGTATTGCTGCTTTGCTACTGGTAGACTAGTACATGCTTACCCTTTTTGGGAACACCTGGTGTCATCACTGATTTTCAGTGATCCATTAATGTAATTTTCAACACTATTTTGCTTTTTACACCCAGTGGAATTAGTTTCGGCAGGTAATCAAGACTGATTCTTCTCAGGAGTTGGCATTTCATGTTTTACAGTTTATCCAATCATTAATTTCGAAAATATATAAAAGAATAAAACTAAAACTAGAATCCTTGCCACTTCTGAGATGTATTAAGTTCTCCCACACTATGCTGATGCTTTGTGGTAAAACTGAAATATTGTTCAAACCAGCATTAAACTCGCTCACTCACTCACTCACTCACTCACTCACTCACTCTCACTCACTCACTCACTCACTCACTCACTCACTCTCACTCACTCACTCACTCACTCACTCACTCACTCACTCACTCACTCACTCACTCTCACTCTCACTCACTCACTCACTCACTCACTCACTCACGTTGCAAGTGCAGCAGTTCAAGGCCGTCTTGGCTTATTGGATGAAATTGTCCGCCATTATCAGTCCATGTCACACCGTGATGACAATGGCAGTAATTGGGGTCCATCTACACATGGTGTTTAACCATGGAATGACCTTTTCCCAATGATATGTAAAGTAACACCCAACAGCGGGCCTTTGTTGGAGCCCTGACAGGGGCTTACTACAACACAACAACAGAGCTAGCCCTACTTTCACCATAAAGTGCTTGTCTAGACAGGAAAACCTATACCATATAGTTATATGTTCCAATATTCTTTCAAAGTGTCATTGAAATACCACTCGAGGTTCATATATTGAAATATGAAATCTAAACAAGGCTTGATAGTTTGGATTGGATCTCAGTCACAAGAAATGTTTCTTTTGAAAGGAGGCATGGGAAGACAAATGGTCTAAATTGGCCATTTACTGACTGTGGAAAGCAAATACGTTTCTTTCACCAGTTACATTGATGTAATGGTCTGGTATTTGTCATCCATTTTGCTATACAACTACTGTTAAACCCAAATGATTGAACCATGATTTTTCAAATTATTGCTGAAAATAATCTGATCTTAATTCATGAAAATTCCATGATGCTATGGAATACACATATGATGCTGCACATGCTCTAGTCACTTATGCTCTTGTCACTTATGCTTTAGTCACTTACGCTCTTGTCACTTATGCTCTAGTAACTTATTCTCTTGTCACTTATGCTTCAGTCACTTATGCTCTAGTCACTTATGCTCTAGTAACTTACGCTCTAGTCACTTATGCTCTAGTAACTTACGCTCTAATCACTTATGCTCTAGTAACTTACGCTCTAGTCACTTATTCTCTTGTCACTTATGCTTTTGTCCCTTATACTTCATTCACTTATGCTCTAGTCACTAGTGCTTCAGTCACTTATGCTCTAGTCACTTGTGCTTCAGTCACTTATGCTCTAGTCACTTGTGCTTCAGTCACTTATGCTCTAGTCACTTGTGCTTCAGTCACTTGTGCTTCAGTCACTTGTGCTCTAGTCACTTGTGCTTCAGTCACTTATGCTCTAGTCACTTATGCTTCAGTCACTTATGCTCTAGTCACTTATGCATTAATCACTTATGCATTAGTCACTTATGCATTAGTCAATTGCGCTCTAGTCACTTGTACTCTAGTCACTTATTCTCTTGTCACTTATGCTTCAGTCACTTATGCTCTAGTCACTTATGCATTAGTCACTTGCACTCTAGTCACTTGTACTCTAGTCACTTATGCTGTAGTCACTTACACTAGTGGTAAACGTCTTGAGACCTGTATCACTTTGAGATTTCTTCCCTCATAAGCTGGTCGTGACATAACCAGAATACTGTCCTAAGTGGTGTTAAACCCAACTCACTCACAAGTCACTTACTGTCTCACTGTCTCAAACCATGGTTTGCTGCACCAGAGATCATCCTTGGTTTAGTTTCACCTCATACCGTTAACTAGTGACTG